CATTATTTTCCAGCAAAGTATATTTCAAAATATCAAGTCAGAGCCAATACAGAGGAGGCCACTAAGGTGCTCGGGGGGCTGGAGCATCTCCCCTGGGAGACCAGGCTGAGAGAGTTGGGGGGGTTCAGCCTGGAGAAGAGAAGGCTCCAGGGAGACCTTCGAGCGGCCTCCCAGGGCTTAAAGGGGGGGCGGGAAAGGTGGGGAGGGACTCTGGATCAGGGTGTAGGGGTAGGACGAGGGGTGATGGTTTTACACTGACAGAGGGCAGATTTAGGTTGGACATAAGGCAGAAATTGTTCCCTGTGCGGGGGGTGAGGCGCTGGCCCAGGGTGCCCAGAGCAGCTGTGGCTGCCCCCTCCCTGGAAGGGTTCAAGGCCAGGTTGGATGGGGCTGGGAGCCCCCTGGACTGGGGGAAGGGGTCCCTGCCCATGGCAGGGGATTATGAACTGAATGATCTTTAAGGTCCCTTCCAAACCAAACCATTCTAGGATTCTATGATTCAAATGGGGGGAGGGGGGGGGGGGGGGGGGGGGGAAGCCCAGACACTTCTAGATCCAATTGGATACCAACAAGGGCAGCAGAATTAATGTCTGGTAACTGCAAGTTACCAGACACACCACAATCAGATTTACACACAGCCAAAAGGCATTAGTAAACCGCTTTGGGAGAAGGCCAGAGTACCTGTGCTAAGATTAATCCTAGAATCAATTAAATCCCTGACTTTGCACAACAACTTCATTAACCTACTCAGTCTCATGACCTGGCCTCCAAAGTATTCCATGGTGACACTCCTGACAGTCATCTGGGGTGTCCACCACCACACACACACACATACACACATGCAGAAAAACACATTCCCTCATAAAAGCAATGGGCTTGCAAATTATGAAAACAAACTGCAAGTCTGACTTAAAGCTTTACACCCGCTGAGACTCCATGCTATGTAGTAATAATATTTACAAGGCACATGGACTCCACTGGCCGGGCTGCCTCGCTCTGTTACCCGCCGCACTTACGTATATTCTACACAGTTGGATGCGTGGCATTACCCTGCAGCCCAGGTCCTTGATTTATAGTGTCTGGTAACGTCTCCCTTCTGCTGAAATTGAAATGTCTGTGATGTTTGGACACTGAAGGAACATTGGATTTGCTCTGATCTGTAAATGAAGAGATGGCAATCAAACTTTAAAGTCTTTTAAAAATGAAAGAGCCTTCTCATATCCTTCTTTTTTTCATGATGGTATCTCCCACCCTCAGATTTTTTCAGCATTAATTGAGACAAAACCTCCATTTTTCAGACACTGAAAGTGAATTTAAGCTCTCACAAAGGTGACTAGATCAGAATCAGCAAGAGGTTATCCACAGGTAAAAACCACCAAAATAAAGGCAAGCTGAACAGAAGGTTGGATTCACTTAATCTGTCTCTTATTGACTAAGGGAAGATTTAGGCACTTGTATAGGCTAGAGTCAGTGAAGAGGATCAAGACCTTTAGAGAAGATATCATCCTATCCTGAGCTCTAGGCAGTTAAGAAGGAGGAGGTGAAGCCCATGCTTTCAAGGTGCTTATCTTTTTCCATTTAACAAGGAGTAATGTAAATAAATCATGGACTTAGACTAAACATCAAACTTGGAGATAACTAAATTGAGCCTTTCCCACCCAAGGTCTTGCATACCACATTTTCTAATAATGTCGCTAAGGGTGCATTGAAGTCCTTTGGGATGACTTGTATGCATAGACCCCAACCCTTCTTCCTGAAATGAACCTTATTTAGCAAGGAAGAACACAGCTTCATAGAAGTATGAAATAATTCTACCCTTACAGGTTTGTATGAAAAAGCAATAATAAATCTTCCATGAACTGTTTCTTAGTAACTTTGGCCTCCGATTAACTGTCAGATTTTCGTGTATGCAAATTTTGGGAACAAAATATAGGTACTAAATCTTGACTAGTGCACGCAAATCATCCTCCACTGTCATTTAAAAGGCTTCAGAAGACCTCAGCTTGTACAAAAGATATCAGTTCTAACCCCAGACGCTTTTCAGCTAAAGTTAAAATTGTCCTATTTTATATTTTCTCTGCTAGCTTCAGAAATTATTTCTCCCTTATAACTTATACTGTCTCTGTAACTTCCTTTAACTTAAAAAGCCATTTATACAAACCTTCCCAAACACAGACAAATCTCCATTCAGTTTATTTGGAAGTTTTTTCATCTTCCTCCAATGCCAAGTGATACTCAGAGAAAGTATATATTTGGAAAAAAAAAAAAAAAAAAAAAAAAAAAAAAGGGTAGTCTACAGAAATTTAGTAATGGAATGGTGAAGTAAAACTTCCTAAGAGGCTCCCTCAATAGCTGGAAACTGCTAGACAAAATTATTAATGGCACAGAATTATTTTGCACAAAATTATTCTTTGAAATCTCTGACTCTTGAGAGGGAAAGTATTATACTTCTCATACCTTTCTTGTACCTTTGAAGAAGGAATCAGAATATTATTATTTTTGTGTACCATTTTGATGGCTTTTGATATTATATTAGTTTTTTCTGCCTCCCAGCAGAGGGATTTATGTTCTTTGTGGTCAGACTTCTGGATGTAGTTATTCTCTGTTGAATTGTGTTTTCCATTGCTAGGAGTTGTTTATTGAGACCTGCACACTGACAAAAAATTGCGTGATGGAAAGTTTACTAAGCTCTCTGATTTAGAAGTTCCAGTTCATATTTCCTAGCACTAGAAGATGACCTGTTCATCTATCCATCTATTTGTACAGTTACAGCTAATATTCAAGTTTAAAGAACTTTTTTTTTGTGTAATGTTTTTCTAAATTCACTTGCCTCTCATTTCGCACTTATTTTTCAGTAGTAGAATTCTTCTCTTCCTCCTGTATTTTTTATGTCCTAGTTTTTTTGTGGGGATATTTTTGTTATTTTATTTTTCCATAGAACTACATACAAATTATTTATGGCAATATGGCATTACGGACCCCCAAGTGCACTGTAATGGTAATGGGGAAAATAACTAACAAGGACAATGGTCCCAGTTTTGACTGCTAAGAAATAATCAAGAAGGGCTTTTAGGAGCTCCATCAGCCTGGGTCACAGTGGTATAGCTTATCTGAAAGGCTGCTGTGATATGTCTTTTTCATCGGTGATATCCTGAAATACTTCATAAAAGCATGTTAATTCCCAGTCTAATGGTTCATGACAAAGCTCTGTCCACGAAAGGATTGTGGTTCATTCCAAAAACCCATGCAAAGACTCTCACAGGCTTCATTGGGCTTTCAAACTGTCCCCAATGGCTCAATTTAATTTAATGTATAAGGAGGCGGAAGTTCTTAAAATGTTATGAGGAGCAAGTTTCAGTATGGATTTTGTCAGGACGCTTCTTCAAAATTGTCTGGGTCTCAATCCTCTGGGCTCAGCCTGAGGTAAGTCACACTGGAGAATCAAGGTACACAGATGTGGTCTTTCCATGGTTTCTTTTCTTGCTCTGGGTTTGAAGGAATGGTGAAAACCTGCAGCTCATGAAAGCCAGTGGCTCATTTCCTCCCTTAGGCTTCAAGAGAACTTTTCCGATAAGTGAAGAGGAGAGAACATCTACCATGCCTGTTTGTCCCTTGCTTGCATTTTAGAAACACTGTTATTTCTCCAAATCTGATGAAGATTTTGGTAAATTTGGTTCATATTTGCTTCCAGTTATGTTTCAATAAAAAGAAGGAATAGGCTGCCCATGGGAAGGATTTGTAGCCTTTTTCCATCTGCTTCAGAAGGATCCTGGAAGACTTTTTCAATTCCTGTCTGCGGCAACCTCATTGCCTCAGTGGGGAATCCTCTTTTCCCCCAAGAACACAACTAAAGCACTTACAGTCCCAGTCTGTCACAAATCAACCACTTTTACCAAATTTCTCATAATTTAAGTAGATAAGAGATGTAGAGTGGCGAGGACAGAGACCTGCCCCAGGTAACAGGGTCAGACCCATCATCCAGGTTCCTGTGGGCAGGGTTCCACACAACCCAGGCAGACATACTCTCATTTCAAAGGACAAAGAGAATTTGAAGATTTATGCCATTGAAAAACTGCTATTTTGGACTATTCAGATTTTGAGCACACATTTCCTAGATGGGGGCGTGTTTCACAGTTCTCTGATACAGAAAAAGCTAAACATAGCTGAAAACTGTGCTTTTTCTGGTATTATTGACTGTGCCCAGGAGATAGGGATGAAAAAAGGGGACAGAACATGTTAGTTCAGGAGAAGAGACAGGGTGTATGACTTCATGTACGCTGCCTTCATCTGACTGTGGATTTCAGCACGTGTATGCCTCCAAAGCCTTCTACTAAGTGCCCTGTCAAAAAGTCATTCATACTGAATTTCAAATGCATCTCCAGGGAATAATTGCTAGATCTTCTCAACAGAACACTTCCAAAACATTTTTACATATTCTGTGCTTTACACATGCAACACACATATATTTTTACACAATATTTATGCCATACCTACATGTGATTTATGCTATGTATGCTATTAGAATGAGCATATAGTATCTACATAATATTTGTAAATAATCCATTTTGCTAACGTCTTCCAAGAGAACTGAACCATTTTATCTTAAACTTCTCTTTCTGCTCACTTTCCCTCCTTCTCAGGAGAAAGGTCTGAGGGAGACATCTGCAACTGCATATGATTTGTGACATGGGAAATTCTGGATAGCCATCATAAAAATGTAGATACCAAGTCAAACTGCAATATTCCTCACTCAGAAGGATGCTGTGAGACAAATCTATTATTCAGATGCTAAGCACTTTTAAGACAAAAGCCTGGAGATGCTACATAATGATTTTCATCTGCATTATTTAACACCTTCCAATGAAAAAAAAAAAAAAAAAAAAAAAAAAAAAAGCTTAAATTATATACAGCTTTCATAGCATCAACAAAAGATGTTGGAGTTAGAGGAATCAGTGCTTGCTTTTCTTTTCAGCCCAAAACTACTGAAATGGGTGGGTTACCTGGTATAGATTGATGTGTCCTTGCTGAAGGAAATAGGTAAGCTTCTGTTTGATATTAATTAGAGCAACAAAACTGTAATCAGCAAGATGAAACCTGAAAAGAAAAAAAAAATAATTACCCTCTTTCTAGTAAATTAACTGGGATGGAATCTTTAGCTCTTGAAAGTCATCATAGTTAGGTCTGTTGGGTTGCATTTAGGATGGATGAAGCAAGAGTCACTCCTGCTTCACACATCTCCCTTAACTAAACCTCCTTGTAGCAGCTTTGCAGAAAGCTGTAGCTCCACACCAGATGTAGATGCTGCTTGGCAGGAGCTGCCTTCCTCCACTGCAGCCCCCTCCTGTGTCTCCATCACTTAACCTATTGCCACCCCAATAACAAAATCCAGTGTGATTCTCTCTCACTCGTAGATGCAAAGGAAGCTGCAGGATCCAGAGAGCTGGCTGCTCAGTGGATGACAGTCAAGACAATGAATCCACCTCAGTTTTGACCACATAAGGGACAGATTACACACAGGAGATATCTAATTTCATTCAGAACCTAGATACACACAATCCTCAGCACCCTCATTTTATTTGGTTCGGCTTTCAGCCAGGGACCAGACGATCTCCATAGGTCCTTTCAAATAAATATTTTATGGTTCTGTTCTCTGATTCGGCCAGGAGACTTTTTCTGGGTCTGTGATAGCCAGATGTCTGCTGTGTGTTTGTGTGGCTTTGCCTGCTGTTGCGATGGGGAGGATCACAGGTGCAGCCCTCAATACGTACAGGGGCCATTTCAGGCTTGTGGAGATCTCTCTTCTTTTCCTGTTAATCAATGTGGAACCAGCAAAGGGAAGTCCAAAGGCCAAATTTTTAAAGGACATAAGCTGCTATGGCTTTACTGACTTCAGCAGAGCTTTGCTAGTTTTCAGCAGCTGGAGATGTGGCCCTTGTCAACAGGATTTTTCACAGAGATCTGGTACTTAATGCTAACCATTAGAAAGCTGAGTGTGTGCACTTTGGGTAGTTTGGTTACAAAGATGAAATATATTGTTTTACTATACAATTTAAACATGCTGGTAATTTCTTTGCTTTTCTTTAAAAACAAGACAGAAAAAATTAATGGTAAGTGGAAATCCATTTTGCCGTGTAATAGTAATACACTGTATATTATTACTATTCTGCTAATCCACGGGGAAAGTAAATGCCAATAAAAGGGATTATAAAGCAACATGCATTTTCAATTAGGGCCTACAGTGCTGCTCAAAGCAAGCCTTGCCAAACGTCTAGCTGATGGGACATAGCTCACAGCAAGTTCTGGACACACACTGAGCCAGAGGGGCGAGATGAAGGGACGCCTCCTCTCCCTCACAGCATGCCTGGTCAAGGACTTGATGAAAGCTCCTCCTGCCCCTCCACGCAGGGAACCAGGGACCAGGGGTCCAGAGCAAGGACCAAGAGGGATTGTGACTCCTGTCTCTCATGGTCAGGCAAAAGCAGGGATGGGAAGGAGGTCTGGTGGGCTGAGATGGATCACTTCCCGCAGAGTGAAGAGTCAGACAGGAGCCATCTGTGTTGTATTAAATCTCTCGACCCCGGCCAGGGGCTGTGCAATTAGGAGACAACCTTTCTTCAAGCAGGCAGGGGCTATCTGTAAATAAACCAATGCATGCCCGTGCACACTCCTAGTCATTGTATCTCATCTCTTAGAGCTACACAAACACAGTTTACACACACTATGCACACAGATTATTAAGCTATACACTGCAGTTTATATGCGTATGTACAACATATATATATGTCGAATACATATACATACGCATTATATAGTTTATATTTATATATGTATCTACTTGCTTCTCAATCTAGACACAGAATCTTTAATTATGTAGAGAGTTCAAGAAATCTGTAAATTTTATATACATATATCTAATCGATTGCGGGCATAGAACAAGCAAAACAAGAAAAGGGAGTTGTGATAGAAGGTGGGACAATAAGAAATAGAGACCAGTGCTTACAAATAGATGGTCTACTGAAGATGTTGTCTCTCAGAAAATATTTGCTCTCCTCCTAATACACCCACTTTCCAATTAAATAAAAATAAATCTTATAATCTTATTCTTTTTCCTCTAGGAATGGTGAGCCATTCTCCTTGCTATCTGGGACGGGATTTGACAGCTTACATCAGGAATGGGCGTGAAGTTGCCCAGATGTGTCTGCTGAAGGAACCATTTTCCTGGTGATGACAGAAGTCTGGCAAGATGCCTGATGAAAATCTGTGGGGGATTTTTTTTCCCCTCTTCCAAAACAAAAAATGGAGAAAAGAGAAACCTGTACTCATCAACTAGATATATATGAGAAAACGCCCTATTTTCTATTTTTTTTCTTTTTTTCTTTTTTTTTTTTTTTTTTTTTTTTTCAGGTAGAGACATTGAGGTCTTCAGAAAGACAGGAAATCTTAAGTGCCCTCCCCAGAGCCTCATCTATCAATCAGGTCTTTCCTTTGGCCCCAGAATATTCAATCTCTCTCCTTCTCTTCCTCAATTTGTTGTATCTTGTACAGGAACCCAAGGCCATGTTTAATATGTTTGTTTTTTACACTGACAACGTAAAGGTCAACATTTAAGTTAGGTTACGTAATCAGATCAGTCCCTTGTGATTAACCACAGAGCAAAATAATTCCCATTTAATTGTCCTGTTCTCCCACCCCCCTCCTTCTGAACAGTAAAATCCTATTATTTCTTCCTTCTCTCTGCCTTGGAATTACTTCAGGGCTGATCTCAGGTTTATATGAAGCTGGCATCAAATTTTCAAAAACACTTAAGCAAGACTTCCGTCATAAAAGACTGAGGCACTTGGGAAGGAAGAAGACACTTTTTTTTTTTTAATGCTGTTGCAAGTCAAAAAAAAAGATACAGTGGGCTTCTCAGCAGGAGTTAGACATACTGGCTTAGTTCGTATTTTTCTGCAACAAATATTCCTTGTGAGTATTGACTTTCCATAGTGAAATCCGGGGGACTCAGGAGGCCAAAAATTGACTGAGCTCCCTGGTGTTGTGAAAAAGAGATAGGAATAAATGTAATCTCAGAGTCTAGATTCATATTGAAATAAAAACATTTCTGATTTTGGAAATTTGAAATTGAATTACTGCCATGTATAGTTATAGACTGGAAAGTGGCAGGCTGAATACTAACCTAGAGAAGGACTTGGGGATAATGGTGAGTGCCAAGTTGAATAGATCTGAATAAATACGAATAAATATGAGTTCCATCAATTTACTCCCACTGTAAGTAAGGCAAGCCACATAATAATGTAGCACATTAGAAAGTGCATGCTCAGTCTAACAAAAGCAGCAATTATTCTCTACTCAGTGCTGTCGAGGTTTCATCTGTAGTACTGCACTCGGTTTTGTGTACAGAGTTCAGGATGGATTTGGAAGAGTGCATTGCATTTCCTATGAAAAGACCTCAGCGGAGCTAGGCTTGCATGTTGGGTGGAGACTACAGCTATTTCAGTGGCAGCTAGAAAAAAAGGTGATAAAATAAATCTCTTCTAAATCATGCTACATGACAAGAGGCAATGGTTTTGGTTTGGAAGGTTTAGTCTGGACATTAAGGAAAAAATTATTTCAGTATAGTGTAGCACTGGAGTAGGCTATCCAGAGAAACTCTGGCATACATCTCCTTGGAGATTTGCAAGACATGACTAGGCAAAGCCATGGCTGACCTGATCTATGGCTGGCTGTAGTCTTGCCTTAGCTAGGAGCATGGACTCTGGTTGTCTCATCCAAACAGCTTTTCCATGTTTCATTGATTATAATAGCATCAGATTTGTCAGAAATTGCCCTCCCCAAAAACACACTTTTAACCTCCCTAAGGTCCTACTGAAATTTCAAATGTGGCAGAAGAAATAGAATGGATTGTTTCTTTCTCTTAGCTTAGACCATGGTCTACTATGGTTTAGTTTTCACCACATAACTGGAGATTTGGGTTTCATCATGCACAGTTAGACAAAATCCCACCACCCATGCCTGGTTACTGGGTTGTGTTAGCAGGGAGAAAGAATATGAAGTGGTCCCAATGTTAGTCAATGCCTCTGGGTGCTTCTGGCCACCTCTGACTACCTAGTTCCAAGGGTCAGCCACACATTTATAGCTGAGTTAGTTGGGGAAATCTTTGTATCAAGTTCTGTGAGAGACTAGAGCATGTAGTTCTGGATCTGTAACAAAATATTTTAATTGTTGTGCCAGTCAAACCACTGTATGTAAGTACGTACTGTTATGCCTCTAAAGAAGGGTGAAGATCAGAAGTTCTGAGCAGCAATATTTCCTTTATTCAAACATAGAAAAAAACCACACAGAATACCCTCAATACAGTTGAGTATTTTATCTTCAGATAACAGTTCCTTAAAACTAGCTTGGACAGCTGATCATTTACCTCTAAGCTGAGCTCTTCATGGTGAAGGAATGTCTTGTTACAACAAGGAACTTAAGCCAAAACGAATTATTTGGATCATAGGATCCCCAAGTTTGGTGATATTACTAAATTCAAGATTTCCTTTTTAAACGTAGATGCCTAGTGCTATTTGAATAGATCATGCCTGTATGCGGTTGGGAGATCAGACGCAAGGTCCTGTGGTCCTGTGCCCTTCTGGAGCTGGGGTCCAAAATGAAACTAGATACTTATTTTTGAGCAACTGAACTGAGCCTCTAGTACTTAGGTAGACACCCACATGTAGACTTCTGCATCTGGAGCTGAATCACACCTAATACAGCTTTCTGAGATGGCACCAAGCATTCAGAAATCAGTATAATTCATGAATAGCTACTTTTGTTATTTTCAGTCCAGATTATTGTCCTTGGTTGGATAATATTTTCTGAGAGAAGTCAAAATAGGCGACTATTACAGTTACAAGCAATGACCTACCTTTGTATTAATGAAGTATAAAACCACAGCAAACTGTCAGAAGGTAACCTTGGAGTTTTACCCCAGATTTTTGCATTAAGGCTTTGTCTTACGTTTAAGGTGTTGCATAGTTTTGGGAAACACATCCAATAGGAAGGGAAATATCTCTATTGACTGTAGAAATGTATAATGTGGTATCATGCCGAGTGGATATCTGAAATAAATGAGCTCCCTGTTTTCCTTATTTTTTATACACTTTCTCTGAAAGAGTTTATTGAAGTCCATTGTTGGAAGAAAAACAGTTGAGCAAAAAGGATAATTATTCCCATCCTTATGTTCTTAAGCACTTTGGCTAATTGGGAAGGAATTAGGAAGGAAGCCACATGGCCCAGTGAATAAAAGAAGGGACTGGAAAGCTCAAGAACTGGTATTTATGGCTTAATCTTCCCTGAGTGGTAAAAACTAAGTCAGTTCCATGAATTACACAAAACTCATCATCTTTAACATCTAGAGAGTAGTAGGAATATTCCCCTAGTTAAGGGAATCAAGCATGTAAAGAGATGCAGGTCTGAAATTCAGCACACTGGAGCTAATGGCATATTTATGTGGATATCTGCAAGCAGCTGTTCAGGCTGCATAATATCAGAATTTTATTAATATATATAAAGCATATAACAAAAATTACTGAATGTTGTTAACTGTTTCTTAGATTAAATTTAAATGAGAAGATGTAAGAGCTCTTGAGGAGTAAAAGTCTCTGCAGACAGGGTGTGCCTCCTTCAGCTGTGAGGCGTATAACGCTGGATTTCATCCATTATTCCCTGCTACAGAACATGCTGCTTTATCATAAGTAGTGGAGAGAGAAACATTTGTTGACTAGTTATAAATTGAACCAAAGTGGTGCGTTCAGCAGCCCATTACTGTAATGCTGTAATAGGACTGGAGGATACAGAGAAGGATTAAGCATTCTGAGAGAGAAACATAAAAGAATATGAAACACATAGAATAACAATGCAAAAAAAAAAAAAAAAAAAAAAGCAAAAAAGCCAACGACCTTTCAGACCATGCACAAAATAATTCAAAGCAAATGTGGAGCCATTCTCTTCAACAAGACAACCACAGTAGGTCACATGAGTGCTTGTGCATTTTTTTGTTTTGTTTTGTTTCTTTTTAATACACAACATTAAGCTAGCGGTCCTGGACAGTATTAGTCGGAAATATCTCTTGAATGACTGTGCTTGCCAACTGGCTGTTCTGTATTTACTTTGTAATTATTCTGATTATTTGATATATGCATTCTGTGCTTTCCTCCCCCCCCCCACTAGGAAAATAGAAGCATCAGATCCCCATACGTTTCTCATATTTGCGAACAAATGCATTCATGGAAAATATGGTTTGCTGAATCGCTGTGGGCAGGACTCATGCATACTTTTCTAATGCCGGATGTTTGGAGAAAGGTTTTAAGTATACACTCAAGCCTCCACATTTTTTTATTTTTTTGTGAATAAACCATACTCTGGCTACAGAGACACCTGACTGGCCCTAAGCAGGCCAGCTCAGCTTTGGCAAGGCCTTTTAATGCAGAATATAGCTTTACTTGCTCTGTAACCCACTGCAAGTTGGCATTTTACCATGGAAAGGAGTGATTCTGTCTCTGCCCACCAATGGCTTCTCCTGTTCCCTACTGCCAGCCCCAACATTTATGTATCTGTGAGGTGGAATGAGAGAAGAGGCTGAAACTACCCCTCCCCCCCAGAAAAATAGCATTGACCCAGATAGGCTCCCTGACCTGGCCCAGGGTCCTGCCACACAAGTATTTACACTGGATTTGGCTCACAAATTTAAAAGATGCAGGAAACTATGGACAAGACTGCTCTGGGCATACACTGCCTTCCATGACGCTTTTCCTGAACTGACAGACCCTCCCAGGACCATTAGGACATCGGTGCCAGGACACTGGATCTGACTGTGGACCACTTCATTTATGCCCAGATTGCTTGGATGTTATTCACAATATCCAAACCCAACATTACCTCTCATATTGCAGAGTTGGCTGCAGCTTCATGGCAGTTTTAGTACAAGACCTGAACACAGAGCATTGTAAATATGGGTTCTCCCCAGCTGGGGTCAGAGACAACCAATCTCAAAAGGGAGTATTTTTACTTGTGTTCCTCTTGCTTTCTTCTTTTTTTTTTCAAATTTAATTTTAATAATACTACTGACGTTGAAACTTCTGCTTTTCCTTAGTGTTTCTTGCTTGTGTATGGGGAAGCAGGAGAGTGAAAACAGTGCTCAATTTCTCACTCTTCCCTTGCTCTGTGACTAGCATTTTATATATGGCTGCAGGCTGTTTATGGTAAACCCAGAACTGCTTCTGGTATTCTGCTAGGGACCATGATCTGTTTAGATCTGCATCTCTTCTTCTCTTTAATTTTCTGTCTCTTAGCCATCCTCAATGTTCACAGGATCAAACTGCATAGCTTGATTTTAGGATATTCAAGGCGTATGTATTATCTACTGAGAAGGAAGACAATAATGAAAATGCTGGAAGCAAACTGATCAGTTCATGATATGCAGCATCAATTCAAGCTCTGAGGTATTTCACAATCTTTAAGGTCCCTTCCAACTCAAAGCATTCTATGATTCTATGATTTTGATTTGCTTGTGCTTAAGACTAACAAAGGGTCTTTATTCTTACTGGGACAACATAGAAACTGATTATAAATGCACCAGTAGAAGCGTACTACCTCCTTGCTACAGAGTGACAGGAGGAGAAAATACATTCTGTATCATGCTATGTCATGCTAGCCCACAGTCAAACAGGTAAGGAATTTAATTATTTCATTTTGAATTCACTAGTTTCAGAAGATAAAATACAGAAAGCTTGCAAAGCATGGTAACATCATGGAAAGTCTGGAATATAAATAGATTCAGCTAGTAAGCATAAAGAAGGAAAATACAAAAGCAGAAAAAGAAGGAAGACAAATCAAATGAATCCAAACATAGCTTGGACATTTTCTCTTTCTATTCAGTCTTTTTTCCCCTCCCACCCCCCACCTTTTTTTGCAGATCTGTTTGTTGCCTTACTAGGTATTTCCAATGGCATGCAGCCTACTGAGCAAGTAGTTTTGGGGATTCACTTCAAAACAAATAGAGCACTACACAGAAATAAAAAAAAAAAAAAAAAAAAAAAAAAAAAAACCCAAACAATTATCAAATATGGTGTCTCTGCTAAATCTCAAGTCCACAGAATCAGACCAGAGGCTTTTCCAGTTGAAAACTCCACTTCTTGGCTTTTCTGAATCCCTCTTACCTTTCTCATGCCCTGTGTTTCAATATCTTGCAGATTATTTCCATTCCTCCATGATAACTCAGAGCTGAGGGCAGGGTTACACAGCAGCATCCCTTCCCCTGCTATCCCTCTCCTCCTCCCTCCACTTCAGACCACTGCAGTTTCCTTTCAATTGTTGTGTGAAAGTCAACAAAAACAGAGTGTTTTGGGTCTCTCCCAGCTGTGACTATGTTGTTTCCAAAATGAAAGGAAGAACAAGAAAAGGAGATGTAACCAGGAGACAAGAGGAGTTTTAATTCTTATGGCTTTTTTTTTTTTTTCCTTCTTCTTTTGGGAAGGAGAATTGAGTGGAAAATAGAGGAAGAAACCTAATGAAAAAACAATGACAATAAACATCTAAATGTTCATAGTAGATCATCCATAACCAAGCTTTCCTGGAGCATACAGAAACACATGTGTGCAATCTCACTGCCTTCTTTAGCAAAAACCCAGCAAGGACATAAATCCATGTGTTGTAGCTCTTGCTCAGGCAGAAAGAGGACAGTTTGTTTATGTTTTGCCACATAAAATTTTATCTGCCCCTTGCATGTATTTTCTGCCTGGCAAAAGGACCTGAGATTTTCAACCTCTTTGAAGGAGGCAGGTCCCAAGCCAGGGTACAACCACAGGACAAATAATGATTCTTTCTAAGAATGATCCTTAGGGAGAGGTTAACAAAACATGCTGGGCACCAGAAAGAGTGGGTAGTTTTAAAAATAATTAAAACATACAGCAGGGGTACGAAAAGTTTTATCTAAGAGATCTATAAGAATGAGAGAAAATAAAATCATACATACATCTACACTCATGTATGCATGCGTGTGTGCAAGAAATAAGAAGATGGCACTGCTACAACTCCAGCTGTCAGAAAAAGTCACTGGCAGAACGAAGACTAGAAGCTCTTAAGCACTTAATTTCCTACATAGCAGTCAATGCATTAGAAAACTGCAGCTAACAGCTGTTTTTTGCATAATTATTGTGAGAATGGACAGATTTGAAGCAAATTTGAAGAGAGAAATTCAAGATTATATTTATTTTCCTAATATTTGTCATTTTATTAAGTTATTGAGCCAAAATTCTACCTTAAATGGACTCAGAGAACTGATGTTTAAAAACGCATCGCTATCGGTTTTTCCCGGTGTTTATAATTATATATTTTATACAAACCCACAGATGTCAAAATTATTTGAGTGAGAACACCTCACAGTTTCTGTATGACTTTCTCCTCATTTTTATTACTCATGACTACTTTTCCTTCTCCTTTTTTGTTCATACATAACTATACAATGGTTATAAGAGTTTGATGTACATTCTTGATGACTCTATTTTCAAGAGCAGTCTTCCACTCTTCAATTGCAGGAAACTTTCTAATTGCTCATGAGGAATGAAAGAATAAGATTTTAAAATTTTGCTAAAGCAAATGTTTAGAGGGACAAAGGATTTTTTTAAAACTGTCCTTATCTGAATACAAAAGATGATTTTTTAGTTACTGGCCAATTCACCATTTTAGAAAGTCCTGGTGGACTTTCCACCATGGTGTGAGCAGGGATGGGGTAGCCATGTTGTGAGTAGAGATGGGGTAGTCATGTTGTGAGTAGAGATGGGGATACCATGTCCTATTTTGTATGCCTCTTGGGGACCAGTTACGTGCCTCAGGGACCATTTTAACTCTCGGCAGGCCATTACCAATCTTTCATCTATGGGAAATAACCTCCATTCTTTCAGTCTTTGCTTGCTGTTCACAGAATTTGGAATGGAAAACAGGAACCTGTGAATTTAGCCCTTTCTCCTTCATGGTTTCAACAAGCATCAAATTAACCGATTTTGAATATTAGAAAACATGAATGCATTTATCATCATCTTGTATACTTCACAGTGCAATATAACAGCATTCACAAACAGAACCTCCTAGGTTCACTTAAAACAACGCTCACAGATCCAGGACACCTAACTGAGCCTACATGGATCTGTGGGAGTCTGGAAAATCAAGCTGGAAATTTCATGGGAACAAAACCCTGTTGGATTTCAAGGAGTATCTCTTCTCTGTTAAGAGAGGGATAGTGACAGGATGATTCTGCATGAATGTCAGGTTTCATTTCTGTATTTAGTCTCAAACCAAGCAAGAAATAGTTAGAATGTTTCACAAAAATCCAATATATTCAGCAAATTCAAAATTACTAAATAAAACATTTTTTTTTTCTTTATCAGAAATAAGGTTCCTAGTGATCTGTGATTTTTTTTTTTTTTTTTTCATCCTCAAGCAGTTTTTTCTGGCTTGAATCAAGCCAGGAAAATATATACACATATATATATAGTCAGGTAGTAATGCACTCAAAGAGAAATCAGTGGAAGCTGTTGGTAACTGAAAATAGTCAAAAAGTTTTACCACTACTGCTAAAAATGTAGATCATTCAAATCAGCATGATCTGAAAGGAACAGTGATTTCTACTCTTCTTTCTCTTCCAGTCAGGCAAATTGAATAAAAAACTGTTGCAAAATAAGAAAATATCACTTGACAGAGACAGTCATTGTGAACATTCATGTGAGTGTCTTCCTCACTCTAGGCACCCGTCTAATATGAATGTCTATAAAATTAAACTCCTAATCTCTTTTTCTAGTCAGTAGTGAGTTATATATGAGGAGGATTCAGACACGCATCTAATTTGCCATCATTTTCTACTACACAATCTGGATGAACCTGAGCAAGAAACTAGGGAGCGTAGTTACCTAATTAAATGCTTGCAGCTTAGTACTATTAATTATTCTCTCACTGCTTGCCTACCTAGGTTTCAAAATTTTCAGCAGCAGTTTTGAAGGGGCTATAAAAGGACACTCCCTCTATACTTTATCCTAATCTATCTTGGAGATACTGACTTTGCAACCACTTTTCAATCCCCTCCTTTATTTCTGCTGCATTCAATACTCAATTGACTAAAGTGTGTGGTAAAGTGGTTGCAAAGTCATTTTTTGTGTAACAAAGTTAGGTTTAAAGAAAATGCTGTTGACCGTCTGGGTAAATCACCTGGTTCTTTATTTCTTGCTTTGTAGCTCAGGGAATAGCTTCTCTTGTCCACCAAGCACAGTGGACCATTGGCTACAGAAGTAGCCATGGGCTCATAATCCCTCGACTTGAGAGTCTACAGCTTTCTCTTGTGGCTTGCAAGTAGTTCCTGCTCAGTGGTGCTGCTTCATAAGCTTCCTATAATGAATTTTCCAAATTAAGTGTGGTCGGTCTGCTTGCAGACAGAGTCATCCTGCTCTGGCCTGAAGTATTCCCTGAAAAAAAATGGCCATCGATTTGGCAAGCTCCTTCTCCAACCTCTGAAACAGTTTATCATGGCAAGGCAATGTGCTGTGCTGACGGTGTTTCTATTTAAAACCTTCTGAGCTAAAAGGAGTCAAGGGAAAACAGAAGGAGAAAGGGGGGGCGGGGAGGAGGGGGGAGAAGAAGAAAAAAAAAATTAAAAAGAAGGAAGATTGGTGAGTAGATGTTGTAGCCTGTTTCCATGACACATGAAGTGTGTGGCATGTGATATAAATACCACAACCTGGTACCACACTGACAATTGCACTTCTGGAGCAGTGGAAATAGTAGCTCAAATCAACATTGCAAGTGGAGATTAGGGGACTGTGACAATTTCCCTTGGCTAACTCCTTACCCTGAGCTTTTCATCAGACCTGCTGGGTTTTAAATACACGTTATGGTTCCCATGACCTGCAGATAACCCAAAAGGAGGCGTCAGCATGTCAGGGCATGCACAGATAGGGGAGCATTTGATTTTCTAAGCAAGTACACCAAAGAGCTCTGCAGGGCAGCTCAGGGAACTGCTCTGTCCTTCTAACTCCTTGTGCTCCTTAAAACAGAGGGAGGACACTGAAAAGTGAATCAAGGCTTATGAGCTCTTCTTGGAGACTGAGAGGTGTTATATCAATACCATGAGAAATATATGAATTACCCATGACAGAAGAGAGGTGCATACTGCTTATTGTTTCCTTTACCATGTACCAGATCAGAAAACTCTTAAAATGTCCCAAATGAGCAGTTTAAGCTTTACTGCTTTTGCTTGAGAGTTGTGAGCTGAGGACTTGCTCTGCAGACAGGCTGAGAACTGCTTCTGTTTTACCCACATGTTTAGAAGCTGATGGTCCTTCAGGATTCGAGTATCTGAACATGCTGCTGGTATTTCATTCTTTTGTGGACCACAGTCCACAGCAACTGAAATGCTGTGTCCCTGCTAATGCCGGGAGGCGTTTCATTTCAGATCAAATCTTTGATTTATGGTCCAAAAGAGCAAAATTTCATGTGTTTAAACCTTTTCTGCTGAGTGGGAATGGTGACAGAGCTACAGATCTGGAAAGAAGTTCTATTGGATATGACATTTGTGAACTTTTATGTTTCTACTGGGGATGTGGTTTCCGTTTTGTAAATAGAACCTACAGCCTAAAAATAAATCAGAATTGGATTTTCTAATTTTCTGTAGAAACCTAGACTTCCTTATCTCTAGATCAAACTCCTTCAGTAGCTTTAAGCAATGAAGTCCTCTTCAGCTGAACTGGACAGACTGGTTTCCCTTTATGTTGAGTTAAAAGAAATGGGAGTACTTCTGAGGAACTGGTTTCCTCTGACCAGTTTTAATTTACTTTAGGATGAGACAAATTACGTTGTAGACTTGGTTGAATATAGCAGGTATATCTGCACTGACTCCAGGAATATGGGTGACTGGTCCAGGTGGAGATCTCTACAATGAATCCTACTCTTTCTCTTGATAAATAAAGGATTTAGACACATGTTGTGAGACATTTTTCACTGATAATTTAAGAAATGGGTCTCAGATCCCTATTCAAGCACATGTATGTGTCTGTCCTCTGTCTGAGCTCATGGTATAATCAATGGTTCCCTTTTAGGCAGGGTAGGGTATCCCACTTGGTCTCCAGCTGCTGCTTCAGAAGGGACATGCATTTTCTGTATGTCTCATATCGCATCCTGTTCTGCAACTGTATAAATGTCTCAGAAATCACAAGAGAAAAACTCACTCACCTAAGTGTAGGCATCAGCT